TACTCATGAATAGAAAGATCAAAAATAAATCTTCATGTTGATTAAATCATACACTCCCAGACAGGTAAGTTAGACTCATCCAGAATATATATGTCTTCAAAACTTAAAGAGGTAACAGTCTGCCATAGCACAAGTCTTATGTGTGGCTGAGATACAGTATGGGTCTTCCATTCTATAGAAACCCACTACCATGCAAAGAAAGAAAAAGAACAAAAAAATGAGATAGCCATCACCTATGTCCATCATTTGAGACTCTTTAGCTCAAAGGTACTTTCCAGAATATGGCCTAGCTGAGACTTCATTTCAGTGTCAAACATTCTAATTGGATTGGCAAACAGAAGAATTTTTTGAGGGTTTTTCCAGACTGTATCTAGAATCATAGAATCCTGTCCTGGATATGACATGACCTTTGCAAAGCTTTAAGGGCTCAACAAAAACTTAAAGTATATCTCAGGAAAGCACAAACACACATAAAAAAAAAATCCCTCTTTCCTGTTGTTTTTGAGTTGTGTATAAAGATGCACCAGAAAAGCTATGGAAATAAATGTTCATTTAAATTGGTTCCACTAGGCATACTTCACATGTTTATATCCTCCCACCCAAGGAGACCTCAGCTAATCTAATGTACGCACATAATGATTTTTCGTTTGTTTAACAAGTCATTTATGCAAGGAGAACATGAATTTGAAATGCTAACCTGATCTCCTCAAGCATCAACAAGAGTTAACATCATGTCGTCTGTATGCAAGACCTAATTGCTGGCTGTTGTTTCCTTCAGCAGCCAAACATTGTCATGAACTACTGGGTTCTGCAGTTGATCTCCTGTAATTAAGCCAGTTTTTCATGCATTTTGCATTGAGCTTAAACACAGATCAGTTGAAGTAGTCTTTTGTCTCCAAATTAGCATTCTGTGGGGCAAAAGCTTGCATGCCTTTGTGTTGCTGAAAGTACTTATTATCAATCTATCATTGGCCAGCCCATTTCCTATGTGCAAAAGGCTGTTTCTGCTTTTCTTCTCATGGTTGTTATTCGCATAGGAGAAGTTTTAAAATTGATTCATAATTGTATGTATTACTGTATTAACTGGGCTAAACATGGACCTCTGGCTACTTTGCACAAGCCTAGTGGTACAAGGAAACTATAAAACTGATCTGGTGTAGAAGGGCTGAAGGGTCTGGAAGAGGATATGTTTCAATAATCCACAAGAATGTAAAGAGCTTGTCCAAGAAGTAGTAGGGACAAGACTCAGGTGGCAGTATACCAACTGTGTCTATTAGCTTTTGATAAAGTGTAATGCAAACTAAAATTTTATTCTTTTTTTAAGAAAAGAGATGGTCTTTGTGTTACTTGTTCTTTACTTCTGAGCCATGGAAGCTTTAAGGAAAAAAACTCTTCAAAAGTTTTGGAGGTGATAAGGTGGAGACTAAACCTTTGGAGTCTGTAGACCAGAAACAGAGCTGTGGCATGTGTCTTGCACAAAGATGTGCTCACATCTCTCTTGTCACATGACTGTGAGGTGGAAGGGAAGGTGCTCGTGGCTCCTTCTCAAGATGTTTCACTTTGTGCAATGGAGCTGAGTGTCTCTCTAGGTTAGCTTGGCAAACGTTTTCTTTGGTTTGCAAACTACGAGTGGCCCATGGGCTGCCAGTTGAAGAGGTAATTTCAAGACTTTATTTGCCGTTGAATGCTAGGAACTTGGTGACTATCTGAGTAGGATTTGCGTATTTTTCTCTTTGCTTTGTCTTATTCCAAGCCAATCCCAGTTGAGAGGGCTCTAGAGCTCAGATCTTCAAACTTCAAGTATATTTTAAAGCTTTGCTGGGTTGAAGATGAAGGCAAGACTGAGTTTTCCCTACAGAACTTAACAGAAATAAAGTATATTCTTACTGTTGTAAACCTGATCTGTCATCTACTAAGTACCAACAAAAAAATGCTTTCATAAACATAGATATTGTATGATACAAAACCTGCATCAAGGAGTTAGAAAGTGAATACTAGTGTCAGTGTTATGAGCATAATTAATTTGACTATTTATCAAGAGCAGTATTTTTTTGGTGAATATTTAGCTCAGTACTGTTCTTTTAGTTGCTCTATTAGTAATCCTCTATTATAGTCTCTCTAATCTATTAGAGCTGTAAAAATAAAAGTAATGTTGCCCAAAGCCAACTTCTGCCTTCACTTGAAACCTTGCTCACTGTCATACAAAATATACTTAGTGGCTTACATGCTGAAATTTCAATGTAATCTAACTACCATCATTCGGATTTTCACAGGTTTACATTTAAGACTCTTTTTTTTACACATCTGTTCATTTTTAGATTCTCTAGTTGCCTTGAATGAAAGCATGAAAGAAGTATCTGTTAAAAAGTATGCTATAAACACAATATTTTATTATTTTATATCATACAGGTTTCTTGTGACTTTAATTGCATACAAAATCCAGTCCCTCTGAAGTGCAGAAATATCATTACATACACATGTATGCCTGCATGATGGACATTTTTGTGCTGCTTGTTCAAATAGGTAGATGGATATCTTAACAAAAGATATAATAGTAACTAAGATGGAAGCTTTGAAGAGCTCCATTCATAATAACAGAGAGGGACTGTTATTTTTCATGCTGCTAAAATTGCTTTTAATGAGTTGCTTCAGTATTTATTTGTTTGTACCAAAAAAAAAAAATGCTGATAATCTACTTACTTGGTAAAAAAACATATTTAACAAAAGGTACCTTTCAGAAATAAGCCCTCTATAAAATCTTGAAATATTCAGTGCAGAGAAACACCCAAATCCCATAGAAGTCACTGAAAAGAATATTGTGAATTTTAGTAGGCTTTTGTTGAGGCAATTGTGGAGGTAAATACTATCGTCACAAAAGTTCTACTTCCTTTCTTTGTAAGAACAGCATGATTAGTAATATAAAGATTACAGAGCACGTCAAGTCAAATCCTTCATTAATAGCCTGTAGAGCCCATTTAATAAAATAAGTCCAAGAACTTTTATGCTTAAACTGACAATGAAAGCAAGATCGCAAACCCAAAAACTGTACAGCATTAAAGCAGGATAAGGCCCATGCCAGTCCCAGTGAAGGAGCTTTATTCCATTTATCCAGAGTTTTCCCTCCCTATCCTCTGGCATGCTAACCTGAGAATCATTTCCATACTGATTGATAAATTTATATCAAGCATTCCCTTTAAATCATAAGAATGGTTTTAATTGCTGATAAAAAACGGATTATCATCTGATGATGTGTTCTCCAGACAGAACTGTGCCAGAGTCGTGTGATGGTAGCAGTGCTGAGCAGTATACCTAAGGGTGCTTTCTTGTCCAGCCATAAAGATAGGGCAATCAGCTAAGGGATGAGTAGGGATCAGCAGTCTGGATGAGGGCACAGTAACCTCATCGCCTTTTCTTCTATGTGTAGAAATGAGAGCCACTGTCCCTCCGCTGCTGGTGCTGCCTGAGCACCTCACAATGCAATCAAACCTCCAGGTTAACTCTCTGGGCACAATTTTAGATAGTTCTGAATCTGTTGTCAGACCTGTAGAGGTCTATTGTTTTTGATAAACAGGAGACAAGGTGAAACGAAGGCTTAGTACAACATTTTCATTCTCAGTAATGGTAAAGTCAATATGAAAACATTGCTGTTTTCATTTCTCCTCTGCAAGATTCTCCAGCAAACTGCCCAGAAAATATTTTCTCTTCCCTTCAAACTGTTTTTTAGAGCTGCAGCTTATTGTGTACCTCTCCCAAACTGCACTCCTGTACATGTTTTCTAAATAATTCCCAGCACAGAGAGGCGTGAATGCATGCAGCATCCACCTCTTCCCAAGTTAATGTTACAGTGGTGTTGGATACATGGAGTGCTTCTGTAAGAAAAGGGTTTAGAGTACTTTTAGAATATAGGTTTGATTTAAAGCTTTGAAGTATCATGCTCAGATCATAACTTCTCAAGGCAGCAGTCAAGAAAGAGCTTGGGTCTACTCAACAATCTTTTTCAATGAAACACCTAAAATGAATTTAGGTTTGTTAGTGGCTCCTCAAGCAGAGTGCTAGAAAATAAGAGAACAAAGCCAGTACAAAGTTCTTCAGATGTATATCATAGAAGCCATCTAGATCCATTCAGCAAGAAGTCTGCATTTCTCCACACCCTACCAAAAAAGTTCCAAATGTGCCTACACAGCCCTGTCACTGGGTGCTTTTTTTTTTGCAGCTGACTCATGTTCTGAAGAGACGAGACAGAAAAAAAGCCCAGAACATTAAATGCTGTATTTTACTCTTTGTCTTCCCTGGCCTGAAAGATCTTTTCAGATGGTCTATTCCTCTTGCAAATCTCTCTATAAGCTTTAAAATGTTTGATCAGACACAGTACTGGTTATTTCACAGAAACAGAAAGAAGCTTTATCAAATGAGCAAGCCGTACAACCCCTGGAAAGCCAGGTGGCCACAGTGCCCAGAAACCCTGGCAGCAATGAGGGTGGCAGGGCAGCATGACCAGGAACAGTACAGTCATTGTAACACTGCAAAAGTATAGCATTTTCATAAAAAGCGTATCTCAAGTACTGCTCAACTGACACAACAGACCTGAAACAGTGAAGGGCTCTACAAATATGTGATGAAACTAAGAAGGAATTTGGAATTAAAACAGAAAGCTCCCTCTGCTCAGCTGGGATTGAAGTGTGACATATTCAGAATTCAGGAAGTGGTTTGGGGGTTGTTAGCAGCACAGACCTAGGAAGAAAGGTATGCAATTGACGTTGAAGTCCCTTCTGACAAAGTAGGTACTGTGGAGCAGAGCGAGCATTCCCACTTGAAGCAAAGGGCTGCAGGATCCACCCAGAGTGGTAATTCCATTGATGCATTCAATGAACATGGTTAATATCATCTTGTCTTCTTGTTTGATTGAAAGAAGTTCTTTACAGATGGTGTACTGGACTCAATTTTGTTTAACATTGTTAGCTGTGGTCATTTACATGCTTTGCTGATTTTTTTTTTCCTAGGTACACAAAAATGAAGACTGCCACCAATATCTATATTTTCAATCTTGCACTGGCAGATGCCCTAGCAACAAGTACCCTGCCATTCCAGAGTGTGAATTACTTGATGGGAACATGGCCATTTGGTACCATCCTTTGTAAGATTGTTATATCCATAGACTACTATAATATGTTTACCAGTATTTTTACACTCTGCACCATGAGTGTGGATCGCTATGTAGCTGTATGCCACCCAGTTAAGGCCCTTGATTTCCGTACCCCCAGAAATGCCAAAATTGTCAATGTCTGCAACTGGATCCTTTCTTCTGCCATTGGCCTGCCAGTTATGTTCATGGCAACCACTAAATACAGGCATGGTAAGTCTGGCTTTCATTCCTTTGAGTACTGAGCATCAAAATTGAGTATTTTGATGTTGAAACTCCTTTCTGCATTGTTTCACTTAATTGTAGAGGCACTGAATTAACTTCTGACCTCCAACCTAGAGCAGGTGCCAGTACCAATGGACCCCTTCAGCAATTTTGCATCTGGCTGTAGTTGACTGGATACATCACTGAACATGATCAGTCTTATATAGCAGGCAGCTCCAGCTGCTTCTGGGGGTCCGTGTGAGTCTTGGTGCCCAACGCAGTCACTATAGTGTTTGGAAAAGTATCTCTGCCTGCCTGCCTTCTGCTGTGGAGCAGTTATGCATTGCCCTGCACTACAGAAGCCCGTACTTTGCCCAGGATAGTCCACTGAACTTTGCAGTCATAGATGTATTGCACGTAGTCTGGCAGGATGCAATACAGAACAAAGAGCATGTTAGGGATCACTGGTGTTCAAAGACTTTCCATGAAGTGATAGCATCTCAACATAAATCCAGACCTTCCATTTTGCAGTTGCCAAGTGTCACGTCATTCTCTTCCCCATTGCCCTGAAATGCCCAGACTCTGAATAGATGCATGGTTAAACCATCTTTCTTTTCACCAGGTTGTATACTGAAAGTGAAAATGAATCAAAGTTTAAGCATTTATGACAATTCAACTCTTTCTTGTCCAATATATATGCAATTCCAAGCAAAAAAATGCAGAAGAGAACATGCTACTTCACTTTTGTTTTTGTAACTCACGCTTCATACATATTTTCTATCAGTGTGTCCTATCAGTGTTTGTGTCAATGACAGGTCATGGATTTCTTCATTGTATCTGTTTACTTAGTAAATCTTCATATATTTGCCTATGATATATAACAAAAACAGTTTAAAGAAAAACAAAGGAAAAACTGACCCACTTGTTCTTACCTGCTGTTTTCCCTTTTCTCCAGGCTCTATTGACTGCACACTAACATTCTCCCACCCTGCATGGTACTGGGAGAACCTCCTGAAAATCTGTGTGTTCATCTTTGCCTTCATCATGCCAGTCCTCATCATTACTGTGTGCTATGGGCTGATGATTTTACGCCTGAAGAGCGTTCGCATGTTGTCTGGCTCCAAAGAGAAGGACAGGAACCTGCGGAGAATCACAAGGATGGTTCTTGTAGTGGTGGCGGTGTTTATTGTCTGCTGGACTCCTATCCACATTTATGTCATCATTAAAGCCCTGGTTAACATCCCAGAGACTACTTTCCAGACTGTTTCCTGGCACTTCTGTATTGCCCTAGGGTATACAAATAGCTGCCTTAATCCAGTCCTGTATGCATTTCTAGATGAGAATTTCAAAAGGTGTTTCAGAGAGTTCTGCATCCCCACTTCCTCAACCATTGAGCAGCAAAATTCCACCCGAGTACGACAAAACACTCGTGACCATGCATCCACTGCTAACACTGTGGACAGGACTAACCATCAGGTATGACTAGCAGTGGAGATGTCATCTCTGGATCCAGGCCTTCAGCTTGGAGATGACATGTATTCTGAAGTTACAGTTTATACTGATTTGTAGCTATTTGAAGGTCTAAACACCTTCAAGGTTATGTTTGAAATTGGTGTATGCATACACAAGACCCCAGTCCTGTGTGGTGCTAGTTGTTCTATCCTCTAGTTGATGCTCAGAAGTTGAGGGCTTTCAAAAGTACCTTGCATGACTGGGTCCAGTGTGCATGCATATACAAAGCATGCAAAACGGTGTTTCATTTGCAGGATGTTTACAACAGGTGACTGCTTTAAAACCAGTTGGAGATCACAGATTTTTCTACTCAGACTCCTTGTCTGCTGATGGAGACAGGAGTGGGGGAGAACAGATACTTCTTCTTCTCCCGCTGCAGCAGTGAATAAAGAAAGAGAAGAAACAGGGCTTGTACATTTTTGACTGATGTACAAAGAAGGCCTGTGTGGCCTTGTTTGTGTTGGAACACATACAAAAAGTAGGCAAAGGCTTGTCTACATTCAGTTCTTGGATCAGATAATTATCTGTGTTGGCTAAGGTGGATTTTGAGGTATAGAGAGAGATGTATATAAAAATATAAATATATACACACATGTTAAGGAATATTGTGCCATTTTGCCATATAAGATATATTGAGCATATACCTTTTCCATGTAGAAAAAGCCTCTGAGAAGTATGAACCTTTGAGATTTTACAGCACAGCAGATACAAGAGAAATAGATATTTGTTTTTTTTTATCAAGGCTATTGCTTAGCTTTTACAATGAAGCTCTTTTGTTACATGTCCAGCATCTGTGTTCTTGTGGTTAGTCTTGAGAATTTCCAACCCTTATCCCTCAGGGAACATCAAGCAAAACATGAAAGCAAATCGTAACATTCATGAAAGCAACTCAAGCACATCACAGGCACTAGAAAACTTTTGACTTGTCCCTGCAATTCATTAAAAAGAAGAACAAATGGCAAAAAGCCTAGTTCATTCCTTGCTGTATGACCTTCCAGCAACACTTAGGTTGCTCCTGCACCAGTTTCTCACTGCTGCCACATCATCTACAAGCTAGCCACCTCCTCGAGGTGCAGAAGTCAATGTCTTCTCATGAAAGCAGTTGCATGCCTGCCACTCAGCTGCTGCGTAAAAGCCCAAATCAGAACATTACTATCTCGAAACAGACAAAATAGTAATCATTCCAGAAAAGTGGAGGGCTAAAGGGAGAAACCTTATTAAGCGTCTGCAGTTGGTACTGTCGTTCACCAGCATCCAATTTCTACATGCCAAACTGTGTCCTGTGAAATCCCTTCGCACCTGCTCAGTACCTAGGCACATTCTGGTGGTGGAGCAAAACTGCCAAACTTGACATAGGTAGGCACATACACGTATGTATATATATAGGTGTAGTAGTTACTAGGTGTAGCGAAAAATTGTTAGGTTCAACTGTTAATAATGTATTTGTAACTGTCAGTGGAATCAATTTTCTGCATGTGTCTGACACCACAATTGTATCTATAACTAGTAAAATTCTGACTTTTTACAGTGCAGTGTATATGTACCCATTTTCTGCATTTAGTTACGTAATTTTATACTATTTTTAGAATAACTGAAGCCTTCTAAACTTCTGCTCTTAGCAAAGATTAATGTGGTACTGTCCATAGACTGAGTGAAATTAAGTCTATTTCCCTGGGCACTGACTAAACACAGAAGATGATCCTTCCCACAAAGATCTTTAGACCCACACCAGCTGAGGGAGGGATGGATGAAGCAAGTGAAGTGAGCGTTATTGTAGTACTATGGAGGAAGCTAATCACATAGTTGAGTTCTTGGTTGGTTGGGTTGGGTTTTTTTCCATTCAGGGAATAGTGGTGAAAAAAATTGAGATGGACGTATGTAAAGAGAAGTTAAATGGGAAGACACTGAAGGGAAAGGGAGGTGAGAGGGAGAGTGCAGAGAAAGGGGAACATTAGCAATGAGGTTTGAGTGAGGCAGTAAGGAAAGAAACTGAAGCAAGGAGCCAGTATGCCTGGAACAGAAAGGGTGTGTGCAGAGCTTTAAGAAATTGTTTTATTACCCAGCTTTGACTACTTTGGTAGCTCTTCCTAGCTACTAGCCATCAATTTTCCCGCAGGTTGAGGAGAAGAAGACAACACTTGAAAGCTTATGTCCTCATAGATGGGTAGATAGGTCTCTTTGCATGGTCTGGTATTTGAAAGATTTTAAAGTGGCCATAAATGGGAGCAATTTCACATCCCTTATCACCATCCCTGCAGTCCTTGCTTTGGCAGCTGCTGCCACTGGTTTATTTCTGCTAGATGTGCAGAATAATCTAGATGTGCAGATATTTGCCCACTGCTGACCTGAGCCATCTTGCTGTTGTGCTCCCTGGAGTAAATCACACCAGCTATCAGGTGCAGTCTTTCTCACTCTTCACAACATCTGTAGAATGCATTCATAACATTCCACTTGAATATTAAATAACGTTTTTTGTTGATTTTTTTCCCAGCAAACATTCTGTAGGAGACAACATTTTTGTTGTCTGCTACTAGCAGAATGACAGACACTTCTGTAGGAGTAATCTGCCCTAAACATGTTCTCTGGGATAACACTTACGAGTGTAACATCTGGTATTTTTTTTTACTATTATAATTTTTTAAACAGAAAAAGCCCTAGGTTGAATGCATCCTCTGCTCTCAGAAAAGGAAACAAAAAGGAGAGGAATTAAAAACACAAACCACAGTTTGCTCAGTGAGCTTTTCTAAATTCTATTGATAGGGCATTCTTTTCACAGGTAAGTGCTTTCTGTACGAGAAAGTCCAGCTAATATATCTATGTCAGTACACTTGACATGCTCTTTCTCGTATAGACAAGGCCTTGGAGAGCATTTGATGTGAATTCTAATTGCAATGCTGTATAGTACTCAGCACACTACACGTCATTTTCGAAGAAACAGATGTTCTACAAGCTGCTTTTTTGCCAAGTGAGAATTCTTGACTTGTTCCAAAGTTAATGAGAACTGCAAGCACTCAGTCACTGAACAGCTTAAGGCCTCACACTCTTACAGCGCTTAAAAATAAGCATTCCCTGGTGGAAGGAACAACTCTGTTTTCTATCAGCAGTGGAAAAGTAACAGAAAACATCATCATATTTGCTTTATCATGTGCCTTTGGCCTACTCTATGGTTCTTTGACATTACCAAAGATTTAGATTAAGAGCTTGATTATTGTTTTCTCCGCATATACAAAAAGTGGAAGAGCTGAACAAGTTCAAAACTCCTCCAGAAATGCAGTTTCTTTCACCTGCACAGAATAGCATCTGATCCGTAACACTGATGGAGTGAGCATTTATAGAAATTGTAGGTGTTGAGTGGAGCAGCACAGTTCTGAGGGGGAAAAGACAGTGGCTAACCAGGTATGCAAAAACTGGAAGAGCTGTAAGACAGATGTTTCACATCTGCAGGGGAATGTATCCTGTGTTACATTCAACTAACTTGCAGTAAAATGCATAGGTTACCTTTGTTCTAAAGTGAGCTTAAAGGCATGGTTCACTTTAACTTTTGGGTAGGCATATGTAATCTTATAAGTGCATTAGCCTGAAGAGTTAGAATGAGAGTTAGAAGTGATGGAACCCTGGAAAAGTAGTTTGGCAAAGCAAACATTCTTACTTTGAGCTTATCTCTGTGTGACCCAATGTTAGTTGGGAATGGCAATAAAAAAACAAATACTAGCTTTTGCAAATGGCTGAGGTTGTTTTGATGTCATTGACATTAATCTAATTCATAACAACGAACTTGCCAGCAAGGTGTAGCAAAAACCTACTCTGAAATAGCTTTTACTTCAGATGTACAGAGACACTCTGTATTAATTTCTCTGAGAATAAGTTTGATTTTTTTTTTAATTGATAGTTTTTTCCCTGAAAAATGTTTTCCAAATACCTCTTATTTTTATTGACATCTATATGTTAATTAAAAAATAATCCTAAATACTTAGGTAAATGAATTATTAATAATTACAGAAATCTGAGAAATACAATTTGTTCCACTGAGATAATTTTTTTCTGTCCCATTTAAATTTTTATAGCATCCTCACCTTAATGTACCCAAGCAACTAAGCAAATTATGTATAGGCACATTTCCAGGACTAATTAGTCATCCTATGATACTATTTTTTTGTAATTTTAGCTTCTCATGCTTTCTCCTTAACCACTGATGTGTCTAAGTACCATAATGGAAGTTGCAAATCCTCCATATATGCTGAAAATGAGGCCTCCGATATGTTCATAAACCAGAAGTCCTGGCATCCTGGAACATGTTGGTAGCCCTGGAACAGGTTGCCCAGGGGGCTGGGACTAGATGATCTTTAAGATCCCTTCAAACTCCAACCATTCTGTGGTTCCATTTGTGCTCAGCTGTGAAAGTTTTGCCCTTATTTCTTCAACTGGCAGCTATACATAGAAATAAAAATGATATTAAGGAAAAACTAGTTGAAACAAGGAAAAAATGAAAGTTACTTTCACTTTGATGAAATAAATGAAGAAAGTACAGTCTTACATTTTAATTTTCCTAGCGCTATATGACAGATTGCAAACAAACACAGGGAATGCTGGCAAGTCCTATGCAGAATCATGATAAAAGTTGGGCAGATTCTGTCACTCCAAACCTTGGCAGATTCACATCTACCTGTATTAATAGAGAATGGCCTTTCTGTGTATTTTTGACAAAACAGACATATCTCCTTTGTCAATAATGCTGTATTTCAATAATAATTATAAAGTTTTGATTTCTCATAAAGGCCATTTCTGGCAAGATAATGACATCTATGGAAAGCATGTCTAAATTCAACAGATCCTTAAAACTGGGCTTTCTTTTGTAGCTGATTTGCACTGAGATCGGCCCTTCATGAATATTCTAGGTAGCAGAGAAAACAGAATGTGTTCATCAGACTATTTCATGAAAGGTAACAAGAATAAACTGTTCTATGAGGACC